CCAGCAATTGGCAGAGGCAGGCAGATCTCTGTGAGTTCAAGACTAGCCTGGTCTACAGATCGAGTTCTAGGACAGGCTCCAAAGCCACACAGAGAAACCCTGTCTCGAGGGAAAAAACAAACAAAAAGACAGAGTGGGACACTTAAAACATGGTAATGAGATCTAGGAATTCCCACAGGTTTCTATCAGCTTTGTCTAAAAAATGAGCAGAATCGCTTCAGTTCTATACAAGTGTATCTCAACTTTGGAGTCTTCTATGAGGGGCCTGAAATGGATCACAAAGAGAATCAAAGGAAACAGCTGAACGATACCCTGGATGCCATTGAGGTAATGGGATTAGCATTCCTGGGGTATAGCCTGAAAGACTCATGATAAAAACAAAATAGGGGAGAGGAGCTGAACCCTTCAGTTCAGCATTATGCAGCATGGCACCACTGTTTGGTGTCAAGGCCTGGGCAAACAATGGCTAACAGATCAATCTATCCCACTGCCTCTTTTCATATATATTCACAAACTTGTGCATTTACCCCTGGTGCCTAGAGCAGAACAATCTCATGTCCCTGAAACTCTACACATCCTGACTGCCCCCATTCCCTCCAGAATCACCCAATGCTAGAATCACTGTAGAACTGTTCCTATGATTTTCTGTTTGAAGTTGTATGTAAACAGAATCATACATGTAGCTTTGTGGTAGCTTCTTTCACGAAGCATGGCTTCTGCTTGTTTGAGACAAGGTCTTACTATGCATCTTTGGCTGGCCTTGAACTCACAGAAACCAACCTGTCTCTTTAGTGCTGAGAGTAAAGGCATGTGCCACCATACCCAGCTTGATTATTTACTTATTTGGTTTTTTTAGACACTATCTTGTGTAACAGCTCTGGCTGTCCCAGAACTCACTCTGTAGACCAGTCTGGCCTTGAACTCAAGAGATCTGCCTGCCTCCACCTCCCAAGTGCTGGGATTAAGGGTGTGCACCAACTGCCCCTCTTTGATTACTTTTTTTTTCTTTTTTTCTTTTTTTCTTAAAAAAAAAAAAAAAAAAACAGGGTCTCATAGGCAGAAACAGGTGGATCTCTGAGTTTGAGCCAACTCTACAGAGTGAGTTCCAGGACAGCTGGAGCTATGTAGATAGACTGTGTCAGAAAACAAACAAAATTAAGCATCTCTTTATATGCTTATTGACCATTTTGTAGATTTTTGAGAAAATGTCTACTGAGATCCTTTGCTGGTGGCTGGGAATGTACCTCAGTACTAGTTAGCCCTTGCTAGGTGTTTAGCAGCATCAGCACTATAAGTAGAAAAGAGGTGTGTGGGGAAGTCATCGTTTTCTTAAAAGCTCCTTGTAAGTTTTCCTTTGGATTCTGGGTGAAAGCCTCTGACTAGACAAGTGATCTGCATATCTCTTCTCCCATCACTTTGTCTCCTTGGCACACAAAAGCTTTTGTTCTGTAAATCTAAATCTTACTGGAACAGAGCCATGTTCATTTGTCAGTTACACATCATTTATGACTGCTTTTGTGCTATAATGGCAAAATGTGGGACTCATAAGAGACATCTGCAAAGATATTTCTTTATAAGCCTAGCAAGAGTCTGTAGGGAGAAGACATCAATTAGGAGGGCAATGACAGTCATTGTTCCAGAACTATTTCTGGCACTGACAACGGCTTATACCCATAACTCAATAGAGTAGATCAGGAATCAAAGTTATCCTTGGCTACAGTGTAAGGCCAACCTGGGCTACATGAAAAGTAGCTTAGTAAGAGTGTTTACCTCAAATGTGCAAGGCTATGTGTTTAGGGTACAAGGCTGAGAATTTTGTAGATACTAGGCAATCCTTCTTACTACTTAGGTACATCCCAAGCCCCCATCCATACCTCCCAACTTTAAAACTACCCCAGCAAATCTTTTTAAATACAGCCAAAGTATCATTTTTTGTTTGTCTGTGTAACACCTCTGGCTGTCCTGGAACTCAGAGATCCACCTGCCTCTGCCTCCTGAGTGCTAGGATTAAAGGCCTTTTATTATCAACTGCTACAGGAGTGTTGAATGTCAGAATCTCGAATAACGTGACTTTGGTAACTTACCTTAGTGCAGGTAAGGCCCAGACGGCAGCCAGAGCAGTTTTCCTTATTCCCACAGGACAGTACACGAAAGGTTCAGAACAATGTCTTTCACATGTGGCGCTACTACAACTTCGCCAGGATGAGAAAAGTGGCTGATTTTTTCCTTCTCCAGTCCAACTACACCTATGTGAACTGGTGGTCTGCAGCTCAGAGCCTTGCTATTGTTCTTTCTGGGGTCCTTCAGGTGTATTTCTTGAAACGTCTTTTCATTGTCTCAACTGCTGACACAAGGCCAAGGTGCTAATGTATAGCTTTAATAAACCAGCTTTTCTGGGGAAAGACAAATCTATTTGTGTTCATCAGTAAATGGAAATGGCAATAATAAAAACTGAGTTCTGATGCTGATTATCCTAAAATATGTATTAAATGTTAAAACTTAAATGCAGTGTTTTGGAGAGAGGGTTTCAATGTGTAGCCTTGGCTGGGCTACAGCGTGCTGTGTAGACCCAGCTGGCCTCAAGAAACTCACTTGTCTCTGCCTCCCCACTGCTGCCAAGGTGTGTACTACCACCCCCAGCTTAAAATACCATTCTGTTCAGCTGTCCCTTAACCTTCATGGATCCCACTTAGATGTTAATGGAAAACCTTCTGAAAGGGAGTTCTGAAGTAGCTCAGTTGACAGAGTACCTGCTTTGCATGCAGCAGCCCTGGCTTTGTTCTCTAGCCCCACACCTGTCAGAGTAGTGGCACACAGGCCTGAACCCTAGTACCCCAAAGGTGGAAGCAAAGATGAGTCCCAGCCAATTCAAGCCCCTATCTCAATGTAAGCTAAAAAGCTCTGAAAGAGTTTAAAACAATACGTCAAAACCTAATTTTTGTGTCTTTAGAAACTTTTAAATCCATTGTATAGGACTATGAAGTTCAGCATTCCCTCCTACTTTGTCCCAGAGACTGAACTCAACATTAGTCTTGGTGGCACATGCCCTTATCCACTCTACCAGCCTACCCACGGAGCTATCCTGCTGGCTCTATGGTGCCTTTCTGTGGTTGAAAACATTTTACTTTAAAGGATATTACCTTTGGAAATGAGGTGTAGTGACATAGACCTATAATATCACTTGAGAGGCTTAGACAGCCTGACTACATAGTTGTTTCAGACCAATGTGAGACCCTGTCACAGAAAATAAAAAAGATGATATGTGGTGGTGTTGGTGCTCACCTTTGACCCAGAACTCAGGAGACAGAGGCAGGAGGATCTCTGTGGGTTTGAAGCCAGTCTGACTCCAGGAAAGCCAGGGCTTTAAAAACAAAAAAGCAGAGAAACCCACTCTCCAAAAACAAAACAAAAAAATAAACAAAAAAAGTTATTTTGAGCCCAGTGTGGCAGTTTACCCATCTAATTCCAACACTTTTGAGGAAGATGGATCTTTGTGAGTTCAAAGCCAGCCTGGTCAAGTTCAGAGCCTGTTTCAATTAATAGTAATGTAACAAAAATATTTCAACATGGGCAGGGAAGATGGCGCAGCAATTAAGAGCCTTCCTTTTAGAAGACAGGGATTTGGTTTCCAACACCTACACAGAGAAGGCTCACAACTGCCTTTAACTCCTACTCCAGGGAATCTAATCCCTCTTTTGGCCTCTGAGGACACTGGCATCCAAGTGGAATATACTCACACAGACACACAATTTTTTTTATTTTGAGACAGGATTTCTCTACACAGCCCCAACTGTCCTGGAACTCACTATGTAGACTGCTGGCCTTGAGCTCAGAGATCCACCTGCCTGTCTCCTGAGTGCTGAGATTAATGGTGTATGCCACCATGCCTGGAACACATAGTTTTTAAAAATGGGAGTTGGAGAGATAGTTTGATGGTTTTTAAGAGCACAGACCACTCACTCTTGGAGAAGACACAGTTCCAAAGACCCCCCACATTAACTCACATACATCTGCAACTCTAGTTTCAGGGAATCCAAGACTCTCCAGACCTCCACATCACAGTACACAAGTATACATACATACATACATGCTGACAAAACATTGACACACATATACACACACAAAAAAAATACATCTAAAACACTTTAAAAAACCTATTTCAGTATTTATTCCACACCTATTTGCCAGACCTATGCTAGATGCTTTATAATCATTATTTTTAATTACGAATACTGGTACATTGATGAGTGAAGGTATTTTTCCAATTTTGTCTGTTTTGGCTTGTTTTCTTTTTGTCTGGCCAGGAATGCCCCATGTAGACCATGCTGATTTTGAATACATCTGCCTCTGCCTCCCCACTGCTGGAATTAAAAGTATATCACCACATTTATCAGTTTCATACTTTTTTCCCTTTCCCCTTTTAACAAAGGAAGAATAAAGCTTATCCAGTATTGGAGTAACTTGTCCAATACCAGACAACTGGCAGGCAGCAGAATTGAGACTTGAGTACAGGTTCTTCCACACCATACACCACTTACCACCAAGAAAAATAGTTGAGTTCCATCCATAACTTTTTACTAAATTTCACTGGTAAAAATCATAGGCATAGCCAGGTGTTGGTGGTGCTCACCTTTAATCCCAGCACTAGGGGATCGAAGGCAGGCAGATTTCCATGAGTTCGAGGCCAGGTAGTCTACATAGTTCCAGGACAGGCTCAAAAACAATACAGAGAAACCCTGCCTTGAAACCCGCCCCCACCTCAAAAAAAAAAAAAAAAAAAAAAAATATAAAATATATATATATATATATATGAATAGCCTACTATCCTTATATGGCTGTTTCTATCTTTAATGGTATCAATAAAATAATACCATTAGTCTGCTATGCTATTACTGGAGGAAAAGTGTTATCACAGATAACAGTAAAACTGCTCCTATCCTCAGTGCAGTAACTTAGAGCTCGTTATCAGAACAAGTCTGCTGATTCAAACAAAAAAGATACAGATAGAGACTACAAAAACTATTTACTCACACAAACACTTGACAGGTTTTGGTTTGTTTAGATTTTTGACACAGGGGGTCTCACTATGTACCCTAGGCTAGCCTTGAACATGCCAAGTAGCCCACTATATTTGTGGTCCACCTGCTTTTGCCTCTAGAGGGCCTGAAACCCTATTTTTGAGTCATCTGTGTTGAGTAAGAATCGAAGTTGCATATACCAGTATCCAAATTTGACATGGTGATGTCTGCACACATTGGAAACAAAGCTAAGTCCTCATACAGCAGAAAGTTCTTGGGATGCCTATACTAAGTTAATGTTTCTTCATGCCGTACATATTCCCCAATGTCTGCTTGATGAAACACCACAATTGCCATGGGGTCCACTTTTCTGCAGTCTTGAGTAGACTTTGCTGCCACCCCAAAGCCCTAGAATTGAAAGAACAACACTAATTCACTCACTAAAAAACAAACAAAAACCTGCATCAAAACAGTTATATCTCTGAGAACTCCAAAGGGTGCTGAGAAGTTAAGTCTCCCAGTACACAGACCAAAACAACATCCTTTTCAGAAGGTACCCGGTATCTGTGATGGCTACCATCTCTACTCACCAAAGGAATGTCTGCCATGGAGTAAACCACTACTCCCTGGTACTGAGAAGTATTTTCAGTGATTCGACCCAGACCCGATTTCAACACATGGTTTCCATACAAGAAGGACTGCTCTGCTCCAGGCTTTATCCACACTTTATACTGAAAAAGGGTTAGAAATCAAGAGATAGGAATGCTAGTAGGTAGACTGGCTGCTGCTTTTGTGTTTAAGGAGAGGTGGGGAAACAGGCAAGCAGACATGCTCCCTTTAAACTGTTTGGACCAATCTTTCTATCTTTTGCCATGGAGTCCCTTCCTCGACTCTACATCTTAACACTATGAGCAACTTAACAGTTTTGGGGGTTTTGTATGTTTATTTTTGGGCCCCAAGATCAATCTCATCACAGGCACTTATCTCTACTTTCTGATCACCAGCTGACACTGTGGAGGCCTCTCTGTTTTACTACAGTCAGCTAGGCTACGCAGCTACACCTACAAACATCTCCTACTGACGCTGTCAGGAACTCGAAAGAAATGAATCTGTGCTCTTGACTTCATCCCCGATGACAAAATGGAAGAGCGGCCCCACTTACCTTGGCATAGGGTGCAAGGTAATCGAGAGCTGTAACGTGCAACCGGAACTTGTGGGTCTTGGTAAACTTCCCAAAACACGTCCCCAGTGACACCAGCTTATCCCCGGAGATGTTGGCGGCCAGCTTCAGGATCATCTCACTACAAGGTCGAGGAGGAAGGATGCTGGTGACGGCCTCTGTGGGACGCAGGCCTCCAGCCCAGGAGCCGGTGCGCACCAAGCCCCACCTCGCCTCACCTCACATAGTACACTCGGTCGTTGTGCAGCCGGAAACAGTAGGTGCCGTCGGGCCTGTCCACCAGGAGCTGTAGGTTCTCCCCGATGCTGAGAGCAAAAAGAAGACTGGCGGTTACGCCGGAGCCGTCCTGCCCCAGTGCCGCGCGCGTCCCCGCTCCCCGCAGCCCGCCCCTCGTCTGCCTCTCAGGACCCTACTATTTCGCAATCTTCTCAAACATTACTCGGGTCTCTTCTTCAGTCAAGGGCCTCATTTTCCCGCCAGCTTGACTCCCGGTATCCTCGTGCCCGGAGAGGCGGAAACGGAAGTCACCTCACCCGGCTTCCTGGCAACACCAAAGCTTGCCTCTCTAGCCCGATGCCGCGTGTTCTCTATGTTAGTGCCACCTAGCTTGGAGGACCTTAGGGGGCCGCAAAGCCGGCTAGGTGAGAAGCCATAGAAAAAGGAAATGCTTCTTAACTGTTTCCGGTCCCAGGCGCTACAGCGGCGCCCTCGCGGGCCTGGAGAGGAAGTGACGGCGTTGCTGGAAAGATGGCAGCTGCTGTGACTCTCCGGTCCTCCGCCCCTGCTCCGGCCGCGGCGACGGCCACAGCAGCCGCGCTGGGGGAGGTAGAAGATGAGGGACTTTTGGCGTCGCTGTTCCGCGACCGCTTCCCTGAGGCCCAGTGGCGTGAGCGACCTGACGTGGGCCGCTACCTCCGGGAGTTGAGCGGCTCGGGGCTGGACCGGCTGCGGCGCGAGCCCGAGCGCTTGGCGGAGGAGCGGGCCCAGCTGCTGCAGCAGACGCGCGACCTAGCCTTCGCCAATTACAAGACGTTCATTCGCGGTGCTGAGTGCACCGAGCGCATCCACCGTCTCTTTGGCGACGTGGAGACGTCCCTCGGTCACCTACTCGACCGTTTGCCCAGCTTTCAGCAGAGCTGCAGGTGCGGCTGGCCTAATGCTGAGGGTCCCAAATCTGTAACTAACAGGACGCCAGGAGGCTAGACATAGCTGCCCCTTACACAGAGCACTCTCCTGAACGCCTTGTTAATGCCCTTAAGTTTCACCACAGCCATCTAGGTAGGTGCCGTCATTGTTATTTTACAGACGAGGAAGTCAAAGTGAAGTGACTTGTCCAAGAACACAGCTAGTAAGTTTCCAAGTCAGAATTGAAAGCCAGGAGTCCACCACTCCCCCATAGGCTGTTGTACTAAACAATAATAAAAATCCAGCCAAACTTGTTAACACAAGCTGTGATTCCAACACTTGTATCGCAAAGTCATCATCCAAGTCTGTGTTTTGAGTTCAGGCCAGCCCGAGCTCATGAGACACTGTATCAAAACAAACAAAAATCTATATAAAGCAGTTCATTGGGCCTGACATAGTTAACATTACGTAAATGTCAGCTTAATATACGCACCTTTATTGTTAGGAATATTCAACAGCTTGGGCTGGAGGCTATTTGCTTTGAAACTTCCATTGATATGAGGCTGACCGACATGAAAATCCTATTTGGGGGCATCATAGATCGTCAAAAGCATTTTCTTTTTCAGCTATAGGTCCTTAGTCTGTTTAACCTCAGTTCTGTTATCCAGTTGTGCTTTATGTGACTCAAGTTCAGTTTTCTTTAGAGCTTTTGGATATTTAAAATAGATTTTGTACCCTGTGTGCCTGAAGAGATTCAGGACTTCATCAAGCCAGTTTCTGGAATTACTATAGGGAAGTGGAGAAAGTTAAAGTGGAAGGGCAAGGGCAGCACATCACATTAAGAGCTACGGGAGTCTTAGGGCAAGAGTGGCTTGTAGGCTAGTTGCTGCTCTACTAGGGAAATACTAATAGCTATTAAAAATATGTGTGAGTGTTTTACCTGCATGTATGTCTGAGCACCATTTGTGCCCAGGGATGCCAGAAGGGGATGTCAGATCTGCTAGGACTGGAGTGGTTATGAGCCACTTGATATGTGTACTAGGACCTGAACCTGAGTCCCCTGCAAAAGCAGTGATTGCTGAGCCAGCCCCAGCAATGGCTAGTAAGGAATTTATTTACTGTTTTTATACATTTACTTTGGGGCAGATCCTGTGTATTTCATAAATGTCTTTTGCTTCTGCAAGACAGGATTTCTCTGTGTAGCCTTAGCTGTCCTGGAACTCCCTCTATAGACCAGACTGGCCTCAAACTCAGGTATCTGCTTGCCTCTGCCTCCTGAGTGCCCAGATTAAAGGTGTAGGATACCACTGTCAAACAGCCTCATACATGTCATCTTTTCATGCCTTTGTGAAATGGGTCTTCTTACTTTTAACCAATGAAGAGACAGGTCCAGGAAGGGAAAGTACCTTGCCATAACTTAGTCCTTCTCCATGAGACCTCGACCAAATGTGACAATCCTTGCAGCCAGTCCAGATCTCAAGCCATTTTTTAAAATTACATGGAGATAGATGGGTGCTGCCATGTGCATGTGGAAGTCAGAAGACAACTGTAGGAGTAGGTTCTCCTATTATGTAAATCTAGGGAATCAAACTCAGGTCACACTTGTTGGCAGGCACCACAAACCTTTACCCACTGAACCATCTCGACTCCATATAAGCCATCAGTTAATGATGTGTTCTTGAGGAGTTTCTTAAACCTTGAGTTAAAAATTTTTTCAAGGGGCTGGAAAGAGGGCTCAGTGGCTAAGAACACTGGCTGCTTTTCCAGGAGATCTGGGGTTCAACTCCCAGCACCCACATGACTGCTTGGAACTGTCTAACTCCAGTTCTAGGGGATCTGACACCCTCACACCAATGCACATAATAATGTTAATTAAAGTATTAAAAAAAAGTTTCCTTAGCCAGGAGTTAGTGGTACACACCTTTAATCCCAGCACTCAAGAGGCAGAGGCACACAGATCTGTGAGTTTGAGGCTAGACTGGTCTATAGAGAGTTACAGGACAATCGGCTATGCACAGAAACCCTGTCTCCAAAAAAAAAAAAAAAAAAAAAAAAAAAAAAAAAAGAGTTACAGGTTTGATGTGAGGATTTTGAAAGAGAGTCTTAGAGTCTTAACCATGTGTTCCTGGTTTGGAACGCACTATGTAGAAAAAGCCATGAACTCATCAGCCTCAGCCTCTGGGAAGATGAGCTTAGAGTGTATATCACCACACTCAGCACTGTGTTAAGATTTTAAATGAATCAGGTAAACAAAACAATGAAGAAATATATTTTCCAACTGGTTCTAGGAACTTTGTGAAAGAAGCTGAGGAGATCAGCTCTAACCGCCGGATGAATACCCTGACTCTAAACCGGCACACAGAAATCCTGGAGATTTTAGAGATTCCCCAGCTTATGGACACCTGTGTCCGAAACAGCTATTATGAAGAGGCCCTGGAGCTTGCAGCCTATGTGCGACGACTGGAAAGGAAATACTCCTCCATCCCTGTCATCCAGGTAGCCCACTTGCCCTGAGGGCCCTCAAGCTGATGATCTTGTAATTATTAGTTCTGTGATTATGACTAAGCTTTTAAGTAGAAACCTTTGCTTATTTCATATCAATTTCTGCTAGCCAGGGAAGCTGAACAGAAGATATTGGCTTACTTATTCAATGATCTTTTTTGTTGTTGTTTTGGGTTTTTGTTTTGTTTTGTTTGAGACAGGGTTTCTTTGTAGCTCTGGCTGTCCTAGAACTCACTCTGTAGATCAGGCTGACCTCTGCCTCCCTATTACTGGGATTAAAGACATATACCCCCACCACCTGGCCAAAGATCATATTACTCACGTGCCAGATACTGATTTAGGTACTAGTAATACCATGTGAACAAAGTATTCAAGGCCATGGCTCTCATGAAATTTCTATTCTAGTGAACGTCTGATACTTGACAGATAATGATAAATGTCTGAAGGAATAACCCAGAGAAAGCCAGGCGTGATGGGATATGCCTGTAAAACCAGCTCCTGGAAGGTGGAGGCAAAAGGATCAATCAGGAGTTCAAGGCCATCCTTAGGTACTTAGTGAGTTTTGAGGCCAGCTTGCTCAAATTCTGTTTTAAAAAGACAAAAATAAAATGAAATGAATTGTGGGCTTAGGAAGGGTTGTTAGAGTGTTGCTTTGCTAGCATGATCAGGATGAGAAAGAACCAGTACTTGAAAATCTAGGGAGAGAGCAAAATAGGAAGTAGAAGAGGCAATACAGAGTGAGGTGGAAAGAAACTGGAGTGTTTCAGGTGTTCCAAACCAGCCACTATTACTGTACTATAATGGAGAAAGGCTGGGGGCATTAAGAAGCTGATGAAACTGGAGAATCAGGCAGGGCCTCAAGATAAACAGTTTGTAGTTTGCCGATTTTGATGAAAAATGCTAGGACAATTTTGACCAAGAAAGTTAGTTATGCAAGCAGATCTCTGTAAACTTCAGGTGTAAGCTTTACAAATCTGTTGTATGTCAAGAAAGCCTACAGTGTCCATGGTTAGTAGGATGGGTTCCAAAATATTTTCCCCAGTGTGTTGTGACTCAGTATGTCTATATTGTCAGGGCATTGTAAATGAAGTACGTCAGTCCATGCAGCTGATGCTCAGCCAGCTGATCCAGCAACTGAGAACCAACATCCAGCTCCCAGCCTGCCTGCGTGTCATTGGCTATCTAAGGCGCATGGATGTCTTCACTGAGGCTGAGCTGAGGGTGAAGTTTCTTCAGGCCCGGGATGCTTGGCTTCGCTCCATCCTGACTGCCATCCCTAATGATGATCCTTATTACCATATCACAAAAACCATTGAGGCCTGCCGGGTCCACCTCTTTGATATCATCACCCAGTACCGTGCCATCTTCTCAGATGAAGACCCCTTGCTCCCACCTGCCATGGGAGAGTACACTGTGAATGAGGGTGCCATCTTCCATGGCTGGGTGCTACAGAAAATCTCACAATTCCTGCAGGTGTTAGAGGCTGACCTTTCCCGGGGTATAGGTGGCCGCTTGGACTCTCTGCTGGGCCAGTGCATGTACTTTGGGCTGTCCTTTAGCCGGGTAGGGGCTGATTTCCGGGGCCAGTTGGCTCCTGTTTTCCAGAGGGTGGCAATCAACACTTTCCAGAAGGCTGTTGAGGAAGCAGTGGAGAAATTCCAGGATGAAATGACTTCCTACACCCTCATCTCGGCTGCAGCCATCCTGGGCAGCAGTAACATGCCTACTGCAGTGCCAGCCGCACAACCAGGGACATTGCAGCCACCGATGGTACTCTTAGACTTCCCACCTCTTGCCTGCTTTCTCAACAACATTTTGGTTGCTTTCAATGATCTGCGTCTCTGCTGTCCTGTGGCCCTAGCACAGGATGTGACTCAGGCCTTGGAGGATGCTCTTGCTAAGGTGGGTAATTTTCTGCTACCTTGGTCTGCCTTTGTTAGCAGCCATTCAGGCTTTTGTATTAAACCAGTCCATGTAACCATGGTGCCTGCTGACTATGAGAGGTTTAGTGTGGTCTTAAGCGTTTTTCTGGTAGCGCATCTCTGATGATTGATCACCCTATGTGGGGATGATCGTAGAAGCTATGAAGTAGAGTACCTGTGGCAATCATTCGGCATGCAGTCTATTGCTTGATATCAGATTCCCTAGAACTCAGCAGCTTTAAATAGTACATATATCATCCAGTATCTGTGAACCAGGAATCCAGGTACACTGTCTCTGGGTTTTCTGTTCAGGGTCTCACAGGCTATATTTAAGCTGGATCTCCCAGTGTCTGTTGGAGTTAGAGTTCTGAGCTCCATTAGAGTCTCATTCCAGTTGTCACGTGCCATTCTGTGCCATTGGAAAAGTTATGGAACTGAGGTCCTCAGTTCCTAGAGGTCATCTACCGAAGACAGCTCACAATGTGTATGTTTCTTCCTCAAGGCCTTAAGGAGAGCATCCCACTTGTTTTTCATGATGATCCTCTGCTAGAACTGGAAACTATACCAGAACATAACAGGCTGGGTCATAAATCCACCAATGAAGTGACACAATAGTGACTATTGACCACATTGCTGAATGTGAACAAGATAGCAATGAAATGTACAGCTGGGGATGAATAACTTTCTTCTTTTGTTGTTCAAGACAGGGTTTTTCTGTGTAGTCCTGGCTGTCCTGGAACTCACTCTGTACAGCAAGCTGGCCTCAAGCTTACAGAGATCCACCTGTCTCTGCCTCCTGAGTGCTGGGACTAAAGGTGTGCACCCTGACCACCTGGCTATGAATGAACTTTCTTCATGCTGCATTTTTGTGCTGTTCCACATAGTCAGCAGCAGTAGACTTCCTCTGGTTGATTGTTGTCACTCTTGTCTTGTAGGTAACCAAAACAATCCTGGCATTCCATCGTGCTGAAGAGGCTGCATTCAGCAGTGGGGAGCAAGAAATCTTTGTCCAGTTCTGCACTGCCTTCCTGGAAGACCTTGCTCCCTATTTGAACCGCTGTCTTCAAGTCCTTTTCCCACCAGCTCAGATAGCCCAGACTCTAGGTAAGAGAAAGGAAAGGTTTTTTAATTTTTTACCTACTTGTTTTGTTTGTTTGTTTGTTTGTTACAGGATCTGTATAGTTCAGGCTGACCTGGAACTCAAAGATCTGTTTTCCTCTATCTCTCCAGTGCTGGTATTAAAGGCATGAACCATGACACCTAGCTCTGGTTTTCTTTTAGGACTTTTATTAATATTATTATTATTATTGGTTTTGGTTTTTGTGATTTTATTATTATTGTTGTTGGCTTTTTGAGACAGGGTTTCATTATAATATAGCCCTGGCTGTCCTGGAACTCACTCAGTATACCAGGTTGGCCTCAAACTTAAAAGATCCTCCTGAATGGCTGGGATTAAAGGTGTGTGCTACTACTGCCTGGCCTAATTTTATTGTTTCTAATTATGTATTCATGTAAAATCTGTGTATGTTAATATCTTTTTAAATCTCTTATAGCTGGCCTTGAATTTGGCATGTAGTTGAAGCCATTCTTGAACTTCTGGTCATCCTACTTCTAACTTCCAGGGGTTGGGGTAAGAAGTTTTAGATGGGGTGGGGTGGTGATGCACACCTTTAATTGCAGCATTTGGGAGGCAGAGGCAGGAAGATCTGACTTCGAGGCCAGCTTGGGCTACAAAGTGAGTTTCCAGGACAGGCTACACAGAGAAACCATGTCTTGAAAATAAAACAAAAATCCCTCATTGGGCTTGGTAGCACAGGCCTTTAATCTCAGCATTTGGGAAACAGGAGACAGGTGGATCTCTGAATTGGAGGCCTGCTTGTCTAGGTAGTGAATTCCAGGATAGCCAGTGCTATGTAGAGACCCTGTTTCAAAAAATAAAAATAAGACGTTATATCTTATGGAGTTGGGTGAGGGGAGGCACAGCTTCTCTCAGGCAGTGGGTCAGTGATGACCTTCACTAAGGTAGCTGTTCTTGGCTTAGCACTTTCTCTTGTGTCTATCTATGCCAGGGTCCCAGTGTCTCCTGGCTCCACCCACTTTACTGTGGGCGCCAGTGTAAGTCGTTCCATATGTTCTTGCTGTATTGGAATATGTAATTGTGTCAGTTCTTTACTGTGAGTGTGCCCCCCCCCCGGTGTCTGCATTGAATTTAATGACTTCTTTCCATTTCATTTTTCATTTTCATGTGAGTCAGGCATTTCACCCACCCAGCTCTCCAAGCACAGAAACCTTGGGCATGTGAACATCAGCGCCATTCAGGAACCTCTCGCCTTTATCCTGCCTAAGAGAGAGACAGTCTTCTCTCTAAATGACCAGGAGATAGTACCCGACCTCGTGGCCCCAGCTGTTTCTATGGAGCAACCTAGCCTGGAGCCAGTTACTTCAGCGTCCCCTGAGGGCGGGTCAGAGAGGGAAGAAGCAGGGGAACCGCTGCCTGTGGAGCCAGTGGAGGGAGAGCCGCTGGATGGAGAGCCGCTGGATGGAGAGCCGCTGCAGCCCCCGAGTGAGGAGCCCTAGGCGTTCCCTGCACCCAGGCTGGCAAGCAGCACTAAAGGCACAGTGCTGTCGGCGGCATCTGGAGAGGGAAGGTCGCTGCGTGTGTGGAAGCTGAGACAGCTTTGCCTAGGATTTCGCGGGGCACTTTGGTACGTGGGAGCTTTAATAAAGCCAACCGACTATCGCCACCTGGCTGCTGTCCCTGATGACGAATGCTCTAAGTCGCGCGGGAACTACGCTTCCCAGCATCCCTGGCGTTAACCGGAGGACCGGCCGGGGCCGTTCTAGGCGCCATGGGGCTGCTGGGTGGGCTGCTGGTAGCGACGCGTGTCTCGCTGAGCCCGGCGCGGGGCTGCAGTTCGTCGGCCGGCCTAGAGGGCCCCGCGCGCACGCGCTCCTACTGGCGGTACCTGAGGCGCCTTGTGTGGGGCGCGCCACAGCCGCCATACACGCGTGTGTGCCAGGTCGGGGACCCGGTGCTACGCACCGTGGCGGCTCCGGTGGAACCCGCACAGCTGGAGGGGCCGGAGCTGCGGCGGCTGGTAGGGCGGCTGGTGCAGGTGATGCGACGGCGCGGCTGCGTGGGCCTGAGTGCGCCGCAGCTGGGGGTGCCGCTGCAAGTGCTGGCGCTCGAGTTCCCCGAAGCGCTCTTCAGCACCTTCTCACCGCGCCTGCGCGAGCTGCGTCAGATGGAGCCTTTTCCGCTTCGCGTGCTGGTGAACCCCAGCCTGAGAGTGCTGGACAGCCGCTTGGTCACCTTCCCTGAGGGCTGCGAGAGCGTCGCCGGTTTCCTGGCGTGTGTACCTCGCTTTCAGGCAGTGCAGATCTCAGGTGCCGGGGACGGGGACGGCGGGGTGGCTATGTTATCCCTAGTCGGAGACTGCAAACACAGCAGGACCCGGGAGCACACGAAATTCAGGGCTGACAGACAGCACTCCTAAGAGCAAGACAAAACCCTCTTGGGACGCAGGGTGCCAACTGGGGAGACTACGTAGATAGGATTCTGTCTCTCCTCTCTCATAGGTGTGTATATAGATTCATATATGTGTGTCTGTGTTACACGTTTCTAGTTTATCTTCAGGTGGGCTTGTGTAAGAAAGCGAGACCCAGCTTTATCCAGACTAGGGCAACAAATCATTCCATGCCTATCGTCCACATTGTTTTGTAGACGGTGGTTCTTATTTGCTACAGTGCCAAGCTTAATTATCTTTGGTAAACAGCACCCAAGAAGAGCTTTGAGGAGGGAAAGCGCCTCATCAAGATTTCTTATGCTTGCCCTATAGTAGAGCTGGGAATCGGGCTGAATAAAAAAAGTTGGCACTGAACAAAGTTGAGGCATCCTTTCTAGGATGGATAAGGACTATTGTCTACATTCACTTTCCGGTGTTGCCTCTGTAGATAGGATGTAAACAGGCATAGCTAGGGCAGAAATCAGGAAGTAGGGGCAGAAGGAGGTTAAGCGTATCTAGCAAAGCCTCACCTCAGGGAGCCTGTAACTTCCTTTGCAGGACTGAACCCAAAAGGAGAGCCAGTGGTATGGTCAGCAAGTGGGTGGACAGCTCGAATCATCCAGCATGAGATGGATCATTTGCAAGGCTGCTTGTTCATTGACAAAATGGACAGTGGGACATTTACCAGTCTCCGCTGGATGGAGGTGAATGACTGACACTCTGTTGCTTGACTGAGGGTCTGGAAAATTGGCATGCAGACACTTTGGGTTAAGATGGGCACATCTTTTTGTACTTCAACTTGGAATTGTTTCAACCTGACAGTAAACAGTGGACTGCTGGTATGTAATGGACTGAGATAAAAGGAACATGATGGGAATTGCTTATCCTGAAATTAGATTCGGACAGAGTTCTGTTACAGCATGAATAGAAATACTGAAGAAGTAGGTGTTTCCTGACAATTTTGCATGGAAAGAAGTAGGCAGTTGACCATTCTCAGTACAGATGACTTCATGAGACACATATATTCTACCCCCACAGCCAATGCTTGATAATAATGTAGTCCAAATATCAGAAAGTCATTTTAACATACAGGTAAATGGGTGTCATGGCACACCTTTAATTCCAGCACTCTGGGCAGAGGCAAGCTGATGTTTGAGGCTATCCAGAGGGACATTACATAGTGAGACTGTCTCAAAAAAAAAAGTTAGCTCAAATCAGGGAGGGATGTCTTGACAGCTAGGTTAAAGAGTACTTGCTTTTCAGGCAATAATGGTATACACCTTTAGTCCCAGCACTTGAGAGGCAGAGACAGGTGATTCGAGGCCAGCCTGGTCTACAGAGTGAATTCTAGGATGGAGGCATGCACTTGAATATGGGCGCACATGCACGTGTGTGTGCGTGCACACACACAAAATAAAAAAAAAAAAAAAAAACAACCAAAGCTTCACTCAGCTACTTTCAATCAGAGAAAAAAAAGTAGTGAAAGGCCAATATAGTCTTGGCTACAGAATCAGTTCTGGCCCTTTCAGGTTTCCAAGTTAGAGCACTTACAGCTGGGAGCATATAAAGCTCATGGGTACAACAGTGCTTAATGTGGAGGGACCTAGGTTTGAGTCCTAGCATCAGGAAATAAAATACAGAGGAATAATACTGGTTTTTGGAAATTCCTTCATTGTGTGTGCATGCCTATACTGTGACCTATGTCACACAGCATCTCTAGGGCTGCTTTCTCTGGGGACTCTAAACTGGGCAGCATCTGTTCAGTAGTAGTTATTTGAGGTTGCCTCATAGGAACAGAGACCTAACATTACCACTCACTCCTGTCTCTGCTCTTGAGAGCTGAAAGCAGGATTAAAGTTCAAGATCATTCTCCTCTACATAGTGAGTTCAGAATCTACCTAATCTACTTGAAACCCTGTCTCAAAACAAAAAAGATAGCAAAACTACAGCCACACTTCTGAGCTTAAGGCATGCAGGACTTGTCACCTGACTGGACAGCAGACCTGATGAGCACTCCTACTTCTTGCCCTGCTAAGGAAAGAAAACAATGAAGAGGGCCTTACCAGAAGTAAGCGCCACTCTCAAGAATTCCATACTAGAATCAAAAATGAAAGACTTCAGTAGCTCAAGAAAGGAAAAGGGTTTATTAGACTTCTCCAGCATAGGGCCAGCAAAGGCTGGGGTCAGTTCTCAGTCGGTGAAGGCAGCAATAAAGACCACCTGCCTGTTATCTCTCCTGATGAAAACAAGCTCTGTGCTCACAGAAGCCATCAGCTCCTGCAAGGAAGACCGGAAGCTCCAGGTGCAAACTTAGGAGGGTGGGATGGCTTTTCCTACTTCCCCACGGTCAGCTGGCTAAGTAGCCAGACTTAATGTGGGGAAAGGGGTGGGAGCAAGGGCCTGGTGGCTCCCACTCCTCAACACTTCCAGATGATTTTTCTCTTTATTTATAAACAAGACAGAAATCAAAGCAGCATTAATTTAGGGGAACAAAAGTTAAAAAGAAAAGAGGAAAAAAAAAACTAAATAAACAAAACAAATCAGGGCAAGGACTGTGAGCATCCAGGAGTGAAGTATGCAGAGCCAGTGTCCAGGTGTCCTATATGGCAAAGCTTCTCTGCAGCAGTGGAGGCCCTCCCATCATCCCACTAGATTGGCAGCCAGGCAGCAGAAGAGATGCTAGTGACTTCAGGACCTCAGGCCCTGCCTGGCCACTGGTATAGGAAGTCCCATGAATTTGCTCCAGTCAAATTCCCAATTTCATTATCAACATGAAGCTTTAACTCTCCTGTCCAAAGTCCTCAGAGAACTTCTTCACTTTCAGGAGGTCCTCTGCATTCACCGTGGGCCGGGTAGTGGCTAAAGACCGCAGCATGTCCCACTACAGAGACACAAGCACAGAGCTGAGAAACAGCTGATTCCAGGTCCTCAGCGCCTCTTTATTTGTGCTGTCTAGACTAACAAGAGGCTGCCTCTGAGGTCATCCCTAGTGCAAACTGAATATCATGTCCACCCGCCTTTCCATCTGAAAGACCACTTCACCCTGTAACTCACCCCATCCCATCAGTAGCTTCCATTACTATATTCACCCACAGTGCAGACAGCTACTGGGGGAGGACAGACACCACAACTAACAAACTTAGGAGAGATCTAGACTGTCTATGTAAGACTCGTGTGAGAATATTTTCACTGGTTCCTTCTGGAACAAAAAGCCAGTCCTTGGAATGATAGTGTCTGGACTTTACTCTTCCTCTTAAAGGTTCCCAGAGTCTCAGCAAAAACCTCAGCTACCCACAACCCAAAAGGCTACTTAATTTCATTAAGGATTTTTTAGTTCTCTTCCAGTGGGTCACTTACCATGCAAACCACAGGCTCTAAGAGTTTATCACCAGGGACATCCATCCAAGTCATCTCTATGGCCCCTGGGTCCCCTGGAGAACATGGGGTCAGAAGATCATCAATCACAACACTAGGGTTGGTGCGAGAAGGGCCAGAAACCTGAAACCAAGCAGAAACTCAGGCTGGTGTGGCAGCTGGCTGACCTTAGTGGCAGTATACATGAGGACTTAAGGATAGCCTGAAGGGAATAGGGGGTTTCTAGGTCGTCAAGGTTGGAGGAGGGCAAAGCTGCTTTAAAGCTCAGGTCTGATCTACTGTAAAGATTTATTGGAGAAGAAATCAAGTTTATATGGCTTTATAGCACTCCACCAAGTAAGTATGGGTCTGGCTTGTACTTGACATTTCCAAATGGATTGTTATACTGGGTCAACATTTTCCATCTGATTCCATTGATAAATAAGACTCACCAGTTTAAAAATAAACAAAACCCCTCAGGTCTGAGGTTTGAAAGATGGTTCAGTGGGTAAAGGCACTTGCCATGCAAACCTGACAAGCGAGTTCCATCTATGGAACCCATGTGAAAGTAGAAGAGAGCCAAGTGCAAAGTTGAGTTTTACCTCCAAAACATGTCATGGCACCCAAGCATACTGCTCCCACCCCCATAGCAGTACTTAAAACAAGACAAGAACCCTCCGGTGGCAAACATCCGTGATCTCAACACCTAGGATATTTGAGTTGTAGGTTATCTTTGACCTCAGGGAGAGTTTGAGGCTGACCTGAACTAATTGAAACTGTCTTAAAACAAATGAATTCCAGCTAGTGAGATGGTAAAGGCATCTGTAAACAAGCCTGATGACCTGCGTTTGTTCTCCCAGGTACATATGGCGGAAGGAAAGAACCAGCTCTTGAAAGTTATCCATTGACCTATATATGCACACACTCAACAATGAATAAACACAGGTTGAGGTCCAAGTGGGTTGATCCGATTTTAGAAGTGCATGACAACATGCTTTCCAGCTGCTGGTCTCTAGAATCTACCTGTAGCTCCAGTGTAGACCCATCATCCTCAATAATTCCACTAAGATTCATCCCCATAAATGTTGCAGCAAAATGTTTCTCCCAGCTGGGTGATGGTGGTGCACACCTTTAATCCCAGCACTCAGGAGGCAGAGGCAGGTGGATCTCTGTGAGTTGAGGCCAGCCTGGGCTACAAGGTGAGTTTCAGGACAGCCAATGCTGTTACAAAGAGAAACCCAGTCTCAACCGAAACAAACTCACTAACATCTCCTGCAATGGGGAAACACACCCTAAGCATCCCAAGGCTACTTCCCCCATCTCCAAGAGTTGCCTCTGGTCGCTATAGTGTGTCTTTCCTTTTAACAGAACAACCCACTCACCCCTCCAAACTTGTGGACCTTCCAGTGTCGCTAACTTACTCTGACAAGCGTTCACTATTTGCTAAAGAACCAGCATTTCTCGTTTGTTGTCTCCACTACTACCTTCCCCACACCCAGGACAGTGGGAAACAGCAGGATCCACAGCAGACACACAACAAAGATGTGCCTGAATGAGTGAGCAAATCCTTCCACTTGCTGTGTCTGGACTTGACAAGTGTTTGGTTGTGTGCACGCAGCACAGTGCTGGCTGCTGTCTTGTTTCCCACAGCGGTAAATTCAGGGAGGATGTGTGGCACAGTTCCAGTTCTAGAGCAAAAGGATACTTAATATCTACCTTTGGAGCCAGGTAGAAGGTGGTGGTGGTGCACACCTTTAATCCCAGCACTCAGGCAGAGGCAGGTGGATCTGAGTTCAAAGCCAGCCTGGTCTACAGAGTGAGTTCAAGGACAGCCAGGACTGATGGGAGATGTCATTCTGTATATGTTTCTCATACTGGTTAATAAAAGGCGGGAGAGGGAAGGGGGGGGGGGGAGGGGGAGAAGAGGGGGGGGGGGCCCTGGGCCAAAAAGAAAAGAAAAAAACACCAGAAATACATAGATCAGCAGAAATGGGTTAATAATTAAAGGCAGAGCTAGCGAAGAAACAAGTAACCAGGCCAACAGTATGTACAAATACAGAGTCTCTGTGTATTATTTGGGGCTGGCACGGCAGCAGAACAAGACCGGGCGGCGGCAGGCGGAAAACCCATACTCGTTACACAGGACTACAGACAGAAACCCTGTCTCAGAAAACAAACAAATAAAAAACTACCTTTAGCAGAGGCTACCCCACCTCCTGACAGGTGACCCTGCCTAAGCCACTGCTGCCACTCACCTTCTTGAAGTGTGTTGCTGACTGTACTTTTCTAACTGGCTGCATGAGGGAGTCCCGCACGATGATACTGATGTCAGCTCCTGAGTAGCCTTCTGTCTTCCGGGCCAGCTCGTGGATGTTAGCATCCGTGAGGTTGTGAGGTGTGCTTCCCAGATGTAACCGAAACATCTGAGCCCGGGCTGCTTCCTCTGGCAATGGGATATAAATTCGCTTTTCAAACCTGGAGAGACATATGCATGATATCAAATGAGAGCTGATTACAGAATGATGTGAAGAGAAAAGGCAGCATGCATATTAAAATGAGTGATCCAGGTCCAGTACCCAACTTTACCAAGGGCTCTGCTTGACATGCAGACATGGGAGGATTCCAGAGAAATGGGGGTAGACAGCTAGTAGCAAAATGGACCATTCATTACTAGACAAAGATGTCAGCCCAAAGCTCCTTCTAGTTTAAACTCACCTCCTCCTAATGGCTGAATCCAACACCCAGGGGATGTTTGTGGCACCAAGAACAAGAGTCCCATCATTGTTATTCCCTACTCCTGTGGAGAATGGGAGACAAAGAAGCATCTGAAGATGCCTGCAGAGGCAGCCAGGACCCATGGGAAAATAAATAATGTTCTGGGGCTTTCCTGGGTAGAGATCTAAAGTACCACCTGCTCTGGGAAGAATGGAGACAACATGACAAAGGCCTCAGAACCTCTCTTTGATGCAAGCCCATATAAGGCTGGCAGAGATGACATCACAAGTGCCTCTCCTTTATCGTACCCAGTGGAGCTACATAATGGAGCCCTGGGTTGGCTTTAGGTGGAAGATAGCCAAGGAGTGACAAGGCACCAGCACACACCCTGCATCTGGACTAAGAACTCCGTTTTGATCCTGCGGGCAGCTTCGCTCTCATTTTCATTCCGTGACCCGCAGAGGGAATCCACCTCATCAATGAAGATGATGGAAGGCTTGTGTTGCCTGGCCAACTCAAACAGGTTCTTGACTAGCCTATGAGAGTAAGAAAGAGGTCAAGACCTTGACACTCCCAAACATGCCCACCCTGAGACCCAGTTGTTACATCCAGTGCCTTCCTCTCACACAGGGAGGCTGAAAATAGTTATAGGGAAAACAGGGCAGACAAGTCCTCAAACAGTAGTGAACCAAGAACTTGCTGTGGGATCAGCCTCAAGTCCTGGGAGCACCATTCATTGGCTCTGGACTTGGGAAGAATCCTTTCCTATTCTCAGAGCCTCAATTTCCCATAAAACACCCCCAAAGAGGATACACAACTGAAACTGACTCTATAGGCTTGGTAACATATATCTGTAACCCTAACACTTAGGAGGTAGTACTAGGAGAATCAGAAGTTCAAGGCAAGCCTCTGCTACAGAATGAGTAGCCAGGGGTACATGAGAGCCAGACTCACAAACCCAAAAAGATATATACTCACAATAGAATCCTTTTCTTTCTTTTTTGATTTTTTGAGACAGAGTTTCTTTGTGTAGCTTTGAAGCCTGTCCTGGAACTCGCTCTGTAGACCAGTATGACTTCAAACTCAAGAGATTCTCCTATTTCTGCCTCCAAGTGCTGGGATTAAAGGTGTGCACCACCACCATCTGGCATCCTTTCCCTTTCTTTTTTATTTTGAGAGGTCTTATTATAGAGAGCAGGCCGACCTTGAATGTGTGCTCCTTCTGTTTCTGTATCCTGAGTGCTAGGATTACAAGGGTGCTTCATCTTTTCTTTTCCAAGTTCCCTGACAAGAGGCTGGAGAAATGACTCAGGGGTTAAAAGAACTGGCTGCTCTTCCAGAGGACCTGAGTTCAATTCCCAGCAATCACATGGTGGTTCACAACCACGTATAGTGGGATCTGATGCCCTCTTCTGGCATAAAGTTGTACATACAGATAG